AGCTCTTTTTTTAAAAAAATTAATCCAAAATTAAGCATTCACTGCTTGAGTTATTTTATCCTGTGCCATCTTGGAGCTAACAAGAATGTAGAACTGGAAGAACAACAAGAAAAATAGAAATGTATGATTCCTATCTATATTTTAATAAGAGAGGTGCTACTATTTTTATACCAAGAACTAAGATCTAGCTTGACGATATATATTTTGAGCTATAGGTCAGGTTCTATAGCCAGTTGGCTCTTTTTATTTATATTTCCATTATATTTGAAAATCAATTTTTTTCCTTGTAAGTCATTGGGAATAGTAACGGGTTTTATAATTGGGTTGGATAGATATGGATATTCAGATTGCATACTAAACCAGAAAACTGGAAGTGATTTTTTTTTTATTGAAGACTACTTTCAATGCCTTGTCTAAATTAAGCCAAGAAGCACATCGCATGAATTGAAAAGTTGAAGGCTTCACCTTGATAGATGGCTACATTGATTGATACAACATTCCTGTTTTCTGTTGTAGCACCTGATTATATGTTTTGAATATTTGTATAAACACACTATTGATTTCTTCTACAAAAGAAAGGGCATAATTAATGAGACTGGGGCAAGTGTCAGATTATTATCAGATAAGCTCTTTGCATCCCAATTCTTATTTCTGAAGAAATGACTAAATTTTGTTTGGAACATTAAAAATTGTGACATTTTGATACAAATAAACAGGCAGCAACCACTACCCACTTCACTTGCACTGATGATATTATTTAATTGGGTAATGAAACATCTGCAAGCAAACGACCAAGCTCAGAGAGCTTCAAAAACTCAACAGTTCAACCCTTAGCTACAGACACTCTTTTCTAAAGGAATAAATTGTCAAAATTCTTATCAAAACTAGAATAACTTGATCACACAAAATGTAGTTTACAAAAAAAGCCAGTTTGGCACAGTCGTTAAGGTACTGGCCTAGAAACAGGAGACAGAGTTCTGGTCCCAGTTTAGGCATAAAAGCTGGCTGGGTGACTTGACAAGTCTCCCTCAGCCCTATTCACTTTATCAGGTTGTTTTCTTGGAGAAAATAGGAAGAGGAAAGGAGTTTTTAAAACTTACATAAAAATGTAAGTTTTCTGCCTTGAATTACTTATATAATAACGGCACAATAAAAAAATATAATAAAATAAGTTAAAAAATTTGCTTGAAATTACACATAGATTATTGGCAAATATTTCAATAATTATTAAGACTTCAGATGAAGCATGAATTGATCCTAAATTACTATCAACTGCTAAATATATAATATATACAGTATGCAGAGTATTGAGCATTGAGTTCAGCTCACAGTTATGTTCACAGGACCTCTATAGAAGAGTAACATTTAATTAGCATAAGAGAGAGAAAAATTAAGATGTGAGGCTGGCCGAGGTCGAGAACTGAGAACATGAATAGTACCTAAAGCAGTGTTGCTTTGCTACCCAAAACAGCTCTGTTAAAAAAGTGGAGAGTTGTAGGAAACAAAACATACTTGTACTAGTATCTGAGTCACAGAGCTCATCATAGAATTCAGCTACTACTGTTTTCCATATGTGAAAATGAAAGTTGAGGGACACAACCCCAGAAGTAGAAGAAAAGCCATCAAATCTGCTAAGCACTTTGAAATATAAAGCACTTTGAAGGCATGTCATTCAGTTGCTGTTTTGAAATAGGCCTTCACTTTGATCTGCTTTGTTGAGATAATGGAAGTATTGAATTGAACTTCATTTCTTTCATTTCTTTGAACCTTTGCATATTGTAATAAATTTTAGAGTTCTATTTGTAATTGTTCTAGATTTTGTTTTTACAGTGACTTCCTGCATTAATGTTAGCTTTTGTTTAGAACTCTTTTTTTTTAGTAAGGAGATTAAAATAAATTTGATTTATTTCTTTTTGGCCAAGTAGGATACCTGGAGTCTATGCACAAAAGGCTATTTATCACACAAATTATCCACTAGCCAGCATTAAGGCAATATTAGGGCAATATGCTGACTCTAAACCACTTATAGAGGGCTGTAAAGCACTATAAAGCAGTATATAAGTCTGAATGCTATTGCTATTGCTATTAATCACAGTCAAATAATGATTGTCCATGACTTCAATAATTGAGTCTAAACCTGTACAAAAATGAGATCTAGTGAATAAATCCTGCTTCTGCTGAACTCAGATTGATAAATACATAGTTGTAATAGAGGCCATAGAATCCTGAGGTTTTCCTGAGGAACTTTATCATAATAGAATTAAAATCTCCTAAAATTCAGCAGCGGGTTGCATGACACATTTATGCAATCTCTGTCAGCTTCAAGTTCCCAACCAAATATATTGAACAAATCGCCATTCTTTCATTTAACTAAATTGGCATTAAAGAGATCAGGTTAGTCTATTTTACTTGATACTGATTCAGAGATTCTTAAAGCATTTACTAATCATACCTTCAGAACGAAGAGATTGCAGCTGAACCATCAGTGCTACCAGGAATGTCCAGAAGGGTGAATGAAAAAGACATATCATTCACCTTTCCTCAGTTTGAAAATCTGCCTTTCCCTACTATAAAAGTCATTGCCCATAATAAAATGTATGACAAACATTTACTATACTTACTTGCAAAATAAGCCAAGAATTTTAGGTGCCCAAACACATCCTCAAAATGCATTTGGCTTAACCACAGATGATCTTGTGTAGGGGAGTGGGTAATAATTTGTAAAGCACCTGCATATCTCGTACAGTGGGGCAAAAAGTATTTAGTCAGCCACCAATTGTGCAAGTTCTCCCACTTAAAAAGATGAGAAGCCTGTAATTGTCATCATAGGTAGACCTCAACTATGAGAGACAAAATGAGAAAACAAATCCAGACAATCACATTGTCTGATTTGGAAAGAATTTATTTGCAAATTATGGTGGAAAATAAGTATTTAGTCACCTACAAACAAGCAAGATTTCTGGCTCTCACAGACCTGTGACTTCTTCTTTTAAGAAGCTCCTCTGTCCTCCACTCATTACCTGTATTAATGGCACCTGTTTGAACTTGTTATCAGTATAAAAGACACCTGTCCACAACCTCAAACAGTCACACTCCAAACTCCACTATGGTGAAGACCAAAGAGCTGTCGAAGGACACCAGAAACAAAATTGTAGACCTGCACGAGGCTGGGAAGACTGAATCTGCAATAGGCAAGCAGCTTGGTGTGAAGAAATCAACTGTGGGAGCAATAATTAGAAAATGGAAGACATACAAGACCACTGATGGATAATATCCCTCGATCTGGGGCTCCACACAAGATCTCACCCCATGGGGTCAAAATGATCACAAGAACGGTGAGCAAAAATCCCAGAACCACATGGGGGTTGAGTGAATGACCTGCAGAGAGCTGGGACCAACGTAACAAAGGCTACCATCAGTAACACACTATGCCGCCAGGGACTCAGATCCTGCAGTGCCAGACGTGTCCCCCTGCTTAAGCCAGTACATGTCCAGGCCCGTCTGAAGTTTGCTAGAGAGCATTTGGATGATGCAGAAGAGGATTGGGAGAATGTCATATGGTCAGATGAAACCAAAGTAGAACTGTTGGTAGAAACACAACTCGTCGTGTTTGGAGGAGAGAGAATGCTGAGTTGCATCCAAAGAACACCATACCTACTGTGAAGCATGGAGGTGGCAACATCATGCTTTGGGCTGTTTCTCTGCAAAGGGACCAGGACGACTGATCCGTGTACAAGAAAGAATGAATGGGGCCATGTATCGTGAGATTTTGAGTGCAAACCTCCTTCCATCAGCAAGGGCATTGAAGATGAAACGTGGCTGGGTCTTTCAGCATGACAATGATCCCAAACACACCGCCCGGGCAACGAAGGAGTGGCTTCGTAAGAAGCATTTCAAGGTCCAGGAGTGGCCTAGCCAGTCTCCAGATGTCAACCTCATAGAAAACCTTTGGAGGGAGTTGAAAGTCCGTGTTGCCCAGTGACAGCCCCAAAACATCACTGCTCTAGAGGAGATCTGCATGGAGGAATGGGCCAACATACCAGCAACAGTGTGTGCCAACCTTGTGAAGACTTACAGAAAACGTTTGACCTCTGTCATTGCCAACAAAGGATATATAACAAAGTATTGAGATGAACTTTTGATATTGACCAAATACTTATTTTCCACCATAATTTGCAAATAAATTCTTTCCAAATCAGACAGTGTGATTGTCTGGATTTGTTTTCTCATTTTGTCTCTCATAGTTGAGGTCTACCTATGATGACAATTACAGGCCTCTCTCATCTTTTTAAGTGGGAAACTTGCACAATTGGTGGCTGACTAAATACTTTTTTGCCCCACTGTATATACTTTTGCATAAGCAAATCCCCATAAAAGATGACTCTCAATTTAGTTCATCTGGTAAAAAATGAGGGATATTCATTCATAAGATTATTGTCAAAAATCAAATGTTCCAATGAAAAAGTGAATAAAAAAACAGATTTAACAAATGAAATTCTGTACTAAAGATTTATTCTCTATAAATATTTTCTTACAGCAAAATAGATTACTAAAAATTTAAAACTAAATTATTTATAGATTTTGAGAGTATTTTATAAAAAATGACAATACTTTGCTTGTTTCTCTTCAGTTTCTTTAGGTTGCAGAACAGTGGGTCTCATGCCCATGGGAAAAAATACAAACATCAAACATGCATGCTTGTAAATCTACAATATGTCCTAGATTTTTTTTCTACTTACTAGTAGCTAACCCTTCACTATAGTTCTAATTTATTATTTTTGAGCAACCAGACTTAATGCATAATTCACTTTTAGCTTCTCTTCAGCTAATGTGGGTGGTGATATTTCTTTGGTTAGAAATAGTCAGTTAAGAGTTGCTTATTGTGATTAATTTATTTTTCAACATGGTTTGAGGCAATTACTGAATATATTGATCTCTAAACTTAATCTACATGCATTATTTTTTCTTTTTTTTCTTTTTTTTTTCTTTTTTGCAAATAGCGAGCTCAAGCTGTCCTGCAAGCAGTAACTGCTGTACAGACAACAAATACTCCCATAAGTGGAACTACTGTTAGTGAGAGTGCAGTAACTCCAGCTCAGAGTCCAGTCCTTAGAATAATTATTGACAACATGTATTACCCAGTAACCCTTGATGTTCTTCACCAAGTAAGTTGCCTTTATGAGTAATTTTCATTCTCTTTTTAGCATGCTTCAATGGCCAGAAAATGACAGTGCTAATATGATGATGATGAAGATGATGATTCCCAGTTTAGTGCAAGCAAGCAAGATCAGGGCTTTTCCTCCTACGTGAGACCGATGGTTGCAGTGGAAGTGCAACAAATAATCTGTAATGTGACATGAAGAAAGAGTCAAAGAATAGCGGCAGACCCAGTAGAAATGAAGGGATGATATTTCACCCCATTTTGCGCCCAGTACATGGCCATTCAGAGAGCTCAGTTCAATCCTTCTGCTACTTCAATACAATTTTGTTTCCACTAACAGTTTGAACTTTAGCAAATACGTTGATGTTGGCCTTTTAATAAAGCATGGTATGCTTTATGTATACGTTTATTGAATATATGAATATTCATTTACTTTTTTCCCCTCCAACAGATATTCTCTAAATTTGGTGCAGTCTTGAAAATAATCACTTTCACAAAAAACAACCAGTTTCAAGCATTGTTACAATATGGTGATCCTGTAAATGCCCAGCAAGCAAAACTTGTAAGTATAATTTCAAATACTTCTTTTTAGCCTATATAAATAAGTATAGTATATATGTTACTATTGACAGTACTTTTGCAAAATTTTGTTTTGTTGGGTACAATGGACACAACTTTAAATTATAAATAAGTCATCCTATATAGACTTTATCTTAAATGCACATTTTGGTGACTTCTTAATTATTATATTGGATCAAAACAGATAGTATACTGTTTTCAAAGCAGTTTTTATGTCTCTTATATCAAGGTAAGCCACTAGTTTGCTTTGTTGAAGAATAGTTGATGAAATGTTATGAGCAATTTGTCATAGTCCTTAGTTTGAATATATCTATTACAGTGTGCTGTGTGGATTCTTTAAGGTACTTTATGTGAGCGCCACCCTTGAAAATTGAAAGTTACAGTTAATCCAGAATACAGTAAAAGGAATAATAATGAGCATATCCTATCTTTTCCATGTAGCACCACTGATTTGCACTGTTCTGGCTTTTGGATGTGTAATTCAAATTGAAATTTGTCATTTTGTGGCACACCCACATTTACAATTCTCACCTACCTGTTCCCCCCATCTATGCCCTTTTGGATACCCTGCACTCTGCCACCCCATCCCCCCCCCCCCCCCATTGACCTTTGCCAGAGATAGACAGCTGCCTATCTCTCTCCCCATCTCTGCTTTTTGGAGGCCTTGCAAAAGGTCAGGTGCTTCAGTCGAGCACCCCTCAGTAGTGAGAGAAAGAAGATCAGCTGGAGGTGATGAGGGTGATAGGCAGGATGGGAATGTTGAAAGAGTGGTGGTTAAAGTAGAGATGAGTGCAGCACAGCAGGAGAAATATGAGATCCTCACCTAAAGGATAAGTCCTTGCCTAATGACCACACCCAGAACTTCCATTGCTAAGAGGTGCAGTCACAGGATATTTTTGGTTGATGACTCCTTCGCTTAGCAATGGAAATCTTGGTCCCAATCAGGATTATTAAATGAAGACTCTCCCTAGTGTTAGGAAATAATCTAATAGGCCATATTTAAGATGACTGGAGAAAAGACACTGCTTTGAATTTTGCATGCTTATACTGTATATTACTTCTCCAAAAGTTAAATAATGAAAATTAAAAGTCTTAATACAGATTTCAAGAGAGGATTTTATCATTCCAATTTACATAGTTATGTAGTATCTGCAGCATAGCAGTGATTCTTGAATAACACTTTCTCGTTTTTAAATTATTTCATAACATAATGAATAACATAGTATGTTACATAACATGTACATACTATGTACATAACATAGTCAAAATTAAATGATTGGGATGACTACTTGTACTGGATGATCTTTTAACTGGTTAAAATTTCACAGGAAAATAACTTTTGAATAATATACATGTAAGATCTAGTTCTAGCAAAAATTCAGATGCAACCAACCTAATGCTAGCCTAGTTTGTTACATAATAAGGAACAGATGGAAATTGTTTTTCCTTCCAAAAAAGAGAAGCTTCAAGCTTTTGGCATACTTTGGGTGGGAGAAAGAAAGCAAAATAATTTGGATTTTGATACCACTTGAAATAATGTTTACATTTTACTGTAGCCATTACTATAAACAATAGCTTCATTTATTTTTTGCAATTAATTTTTCAGAGATAATTCATATTTACTGCCTATTTGTGCCACTTTCATTTCTAGGATTTGCTGGTCCAATTCTGAGAATATATTTTATATTACACGTGGATTTACCATCAATCAGTAGACTGTTACCTTTAGTACAATATTGCAGTAATATATATGATTCTTGTAAACCTCCAAGAGATATTGCAGATTGTGGAGGATGCAAATTTAATAAATAGTATTTCCACCAAACCTGAAAAATAAAGAGTAACGCCTGTATTCACAGAATGTTGGTTAATTCATTGATTGCAGTATTTTAAAACTTTGAACAGTGTGTACTTTTTAACTGAATTAATGAAGAGAGGTAGGTATAGAAAGAAAAAACGTAGATGTAATGTCAAAAAATTAAAAATAAGATTGCCTCCAGAGTATAAAATAAGCCGCCCAGAGTTACCATGAGTAAGTTGGGTGGTCATATACATTTTCTTAATAAATAAGTAAAATAAAAATGAAATATCCAACAGTTGACAGGGGTCAAGTATAATACAGGTGAGAAATCATCAAATGTGTTCACTGGTTTCTTACTTATAAAGATTAATAGCAAAAATTATTTTGTACATAGTCTATATAAGGAATCAGAATGTGAACTTCAGAGGTGTTTAAAATTTAATAAGGAAAATTTAAAAGAGCATTTTCTGAAAAGCCTGATGAAAATAACTTTGTTGTCAACTTCCTGCTATAAAGCACTGGTTATCTTTAGCATGTTACTCAGGTGGCAAAAGTGAATATTGGCACCTATTATTCTATTTTTGTCTCACAATGACTCCTTCCCTCCATTATTATATTAGTTTATGAGAGTGTGTGTGTGTTTATATCATAAATTACTCTTTAAAAAATACATTGCAAAGAAGGATTTATCATTAGTTTGTATGAGCCACCAAAACAAATAGATTAGTTTCATTTTCTAAAATTAGATCAGAGTATAATAAAATCATCTCAGGTTAAACTTTGTGTATCTGTAGGGAACAAAAACGTGGATATCAGGAATAGATTTGCCTTTTTTCACTTCAATTTTCCTCCAGACGTAACTTTCTGTGAGGTTTGAGTGAGGTGGATAATGGTTGTTTTTGACTTTCATATCTGTAGCAGTGAGGCTGGAAAAGCCTCTCTGCATGAGGAGGGATAAAGGACAAAAATTCCTGTCAGAAGACTCCTGGTCCCTATGAGTTTTAATCCAGAATTGTTGGAAACACTTTCTTAATTTCTTGTGAGTAAACATGCATGCATGTTTTAACCTTGGAAATAAATTTTATTCATTGTCTTTAAGAGTGTTTTTACCATTATACTCGTCTGTGTTAAATGGTATTTTATTGTCTTCAAATAGACAGATTATTTTAATGTGTTTTATAATTTGTTGAAGAATAGATTTTAAGGTTTTTAGTGTATCTGTTGTATAGCTGTGTATATATGAAAGCCACTTGTGACCTTCCTGAGGCAACAGGACCAATTTGGATGGTCCAATTCTGGTGTCTAATGGAATTTAATTGTTTCCAGTACTTAGGAAACGAATTGTACCTCATCTCTGGCAGATGGTTCAGTTTAATGCTTGGTAAACCATTGTCAATGGGGGGCAAGCTGGACACTGAATTAAATCTCCCCAAGTTGTCTCTTCCTAGGGGTCAATCTCTAGAATACATATACTATATCAACATGATAATGTGTTATTCCTATCAATATCAGCTCCAACCCTTTGATATTACTAAAATTGAAATGTGCTCAAGGGATCTCAAGGGAACAAATTCAACCTTTGAAAAATAACTTCTTGTGACCCTACAAATAGTGATGATTGTAAGATTTTTCCTTCCTCACGCTTCTCAAATGTCTCTTAACTTTCTCTCATATTCAGCATTGTTTTGGCTGTAACACAATCAAGGAAGTATTTTGTATAGACCCACACACATGCATACATATGAACACATACACACACTTAAATAGAAAACCAATACATATCTGGAGAGCAAACTCAGCATCATCAGGCCAAGCTTGTAAGCCTGGAATAGTGCTGTTTTTCATTTTAACAAAATAATCTTTGGTATCCATGGTCAATAAATACAATTGAACATCATTTTTAAATCCCATTCCTCTTCCCCAAACCATATAACTGAGCCTTGGTGGTGCAGTGGTCAGAATGCAGTATTGCAGGCTAACTCTGCCCACAGGCTGGAGTTCGATCCTGATGGGGCTTGAGGTTGAGTCAACCTTCCATCCTTCCGAGGTTGGTAAAATGTGGACCCAGATTATTGGGGCCAATATGCTGACTGTGTAAACTGCTTAGAGAGGATTGTAAAGCACTATGAGGTGGCATATAAGTCTAAATGCTATTCCTACATTAATAAATTTAGGAATATGAAACCAAATAATATAATAATAGGCAATCCCATAGCAAATTGGGATTAGCAAATTGTAATTATTCCAATTCTCATTTTATCCTTGCAGCATAACAAAGATGAAAACTTTTTCTTTAACATTCTTAACGTTGTTTGGAAAAATGGTTTGAGACAATCTTATTTTAAAATCATAAAAAACATATATAATATTTAAAACCTTTAACCTAACTGCTTTGCTAATATGGAGTATTCCAAAGTTAATGTAAATAACTTATATTACTCTTTGTAATACTCTAAATGTCTGTTGAAAAAGATTTGGAGCAAAGGCAATATCAGAAGTTTTTATTGATATATTCTGTATTGTGCACCTCCACATAATCCAAATTTCTCTTGCAGTTTAAGTGGTGTAAAAATTAAATTGCCAGTAAGGAGATCTAAAATCTTTTCCCCTTGTGGCTCCTCTTTGAGCTTGGATTGCTGGACCTCCCTCTCTCCAGGTCCCATTACTATATATGGATCTGAGACAGTAACATGTATTTTCTTATATCAATGACAATACAGATAGACCCTGTTAACTATCATTTGTTCAGTGACCATTTGAAGTTATAAGGATGCTGAATGAGTAGTACTTTTGACCAGTCCTCAAAGCTCTATCTATCTCAGCACCCCACAGTTATCTGATCATGATCTGGGCACTTGGCAACTAGCTCACAATTAAGACAGTCGCTGCATCTCATGCTCTTACAATCAGTCATAACCTTCTTCACTTGATGTCAGTTTACAACCTGCATTATTTAGTGATGGAAATTTTGATCCCAGTTACTATTATTAACCAAGGACTACTTGATTTGCAATATTATATACTTTGCTTTTCTGTAATCCTATAACCCCCTTGGCATGGACCATGGCTCCCCTGTTACATGTTTTTCATCTGTGGCCCCTTCAAAATATCCTAGGGTCCCCAGAGGGTCATATGGGCAATGATTAAGAACCAGACTAGAATATTGATATCCCTGTTAGCCC